GGAGGAGGCAGGAAAACCAGAAGTTCAAGAGCAGCCAGGGTTACATGAGACCCAACCTCAAACAAATAAAACAAGGCTTACGATGTTTTGTTTTTAAAAAATAAAAGGTACCCCCTTCCCCCACCTAGTGTCTGTCATTTCAGTAGTAGAAGCTGAAGCAAGAGAATTGTGAATACAAAAGATTTTAGAAGCTACCTCTACTTTCCTTAGAAAGCAGATGGATAACAAGATGAATATAATATACAATAACAAAGAATGTTTATTGGCACTGAAAACGTCAACACAAGCTGATGACATTAGTGGATGAAGAACAAGTAAAAGCACTCCTCATCAGAGTGTAGTGACACATGCTTATAATCTCAGAACTGGGGAGGTAGAGACCTCAGATTCCTGGGTATCCCAGGTCAGCCAGAGACCCCGTCTCAAAAAGAAAGCAAAGTAGTTCTGTGTTGGTGGTGCACAACTGCAATCCAAGTACCCTGGAGGCAGAGGCAAGCAGAGCTCTGTAAGTTCGAGGCCAGCATGGTCTACATACAGAGTTTTGGGCCAGCTGGAATGACATAGTGTGACTATCTCTAAAAGCAAAGCAAAACAAAACAAACAAAAGTAGACAATAGTGTTCCTGAGGAAGAACACTGAGGTTCATCTCTGACCTTCACAACCATGTACACACACAAAAACAAAACTAAAAACTCAAGGCTGGAGAGAAGGCTCAGCAGTTATGATCATGTGTTGCTCTCCCAGAGGACCCTGGTTCAGTTCCCAGCATCCCCATGGCAGCTCACAACTGACTGTAAATCTAGTTCCAGGAGATCTAATGTCTTTTTCTGGCCTCTGAGGACACCATGCACATTCATACCTGCAGGCAAAACATTCATACACATAAAATTAAAATAAATGTATTTAAAAACACTGACAGCTCATCACTAGTGGAGTCTGATCCTCAGCAGCTGACAATGTTCAGAACAATAAATTCCAAAACAACAGAAATTCCAGTTGTACTAGGTCACATGGTGTATCTCTTGCTTCCTGATCTTAAAAACTACCTTCTGTATAAATGTACAGCTGCCAATAATGAATGAATGTTTGTGTTTATTGTTGTCAGGACAGATTCTCATGATAGCCTGGAACTGACTATGTAGACCAGGTTGATCTCAAACTCACAAAGATCTACTTCTCTGTCTGAATGAGTTCTGGGATCAAGGTGTGTACCACCCCAACACTACCTTACTTCCTTTTAAAAGTATATATTCGGCCTTTCTCCAGGGACATCTCTCAGTGAATCTGGCTAGTGAGCTCCTGTAATCTCCTATGTCTGCCCACTGACAGTGGGGTTACAGTTTGGGCCTACCCAGCTTTTAAGTGGGACCTGCAGGTTTGAACTCAGGTCCTTTTGTTCTCATGGCAAATGCACTTATCCACTGAGCCATTTCCCTAGACTGCAGTATGCTTATTTCCTAACTCTCAGTTGAACATTTTTCTTATGTGAGCAGATTATTCTACATCCAAAGATACAGAAGAGTCTCCATAATGACTGTCCATAGATGCCTGGGATGACAGCAACATAAGCCAAAACCTCAGGGTCAAAAGAACAAATATGTGAGAGGTAAATTTTACGTAAGGCCTAGTCAGTAGAGGGAAGAAGCTGGCATGATTTGTATATAGTTCAAGAACATCATGAACTGACTCTGTGTTATTGTCTTTAAGAAGTGGTCATATGAAAACAGAACATAGCTCACAAGGTACTTAAGCATTCAAGCTTACACGATTCCTAACATAATTCCCTAATTCACAATTTTCTTAACAACAATACAGCACATGCTGATGTATGTCCATGGTGACTCTGTCTCGATAGATAGATAGATAGATAGATAGATAGATAGATAGATAGACAGACAGACAGATAGATAGATAGATAGATAGATAGATAGATAGATAGATAGATAGACAGACAGATAGATAGACAGATAGACAGATATGGTTTGGGAAATACCTCAGTGACAGAATGCTTGTCTGAGATATGTAAGGGCCTAGGTTTAACTCCCAGCACCACAGAGGGAGAGGGAGAGAGAGAAATAATATGTATGATTAAGATAGATTAAATGCCCAGAGAACTTGCTTAAAATACACTGAAGGTGGAAGTAAGGGAATTAAAAGATTGAGGAGGGGTGGTAGGAGTTAGATAAAACAAAATAAACAAATTTTAATGATCATTACATGGGGAGGACAATGTAATATCACAAAACAGTTTTCTAGACCCCTGATAAATGAGTACGCTAGTATTCCAGCAAGAATCCCAAGAGTTCTTAAAAACATGCAAACATTTCCATTTAAGAAAGATGTGTAGGAACAGGGAGTAATGGTGGATGCCCAGCACAATGGCATTTGGAAAGCTAAGCCAGGAGGATTACATGAAGGTACCCTATCTCTGACAAAATGGAATAAATCAAAAAGTTTATTCTTTCCTTCACAACAGTGGTTCTCAACCTGTGGGTCATGATCTTTCACAGGGGTCACATATCAGATCCTGGATATCAGATTACATTGTGATTCATAACAGTAGCAAAATAACAGTTATGAAGTAGCACTGGAAGTAATTTTATGGTTGGGGTCACCACAAGATGAGGAACTGCATTAAAGGGTTGCAGCATTGGGAAGGTTGAGAACCACTGTTCTACAGTGTTCTATTTTCAAAACTAATTAAATGGGGATGCACTCAGGAAGGCCATGGAGTTCCTGATAGCTATCTCTGCCTTTGGGAAGGACTATTTTCCATGAGATTCTCTGAGAGTGGAACTCAGGGTTGGGCTAAGACAGGCAGGGTTCCACACAAGTAACAATTGTTTCCCTTTTCTTCATGACACTTTTTTTTTATTACTGTATGTGGGCATGCATGTGCATGCATATGTGCCATAATGCAACACACATGTGGAGGACAATTTCTGGAAAGGTGGTTCTCTCCTTCTACCATATGAGATCCAATAATTGAACTCAGGTCATCAAAAGTACTTTAACCACCAAGTCATCTTGTCCAGCACCTAGTTCTTTAAATATAAATATGGCTAGAAAAACAGAACTTTTTCAACATTCCTACAGGCAGCACTAACTGAACTTACAAGAAAAAAGGAGAGGACATGGAAGTAGAAATGAGATGTATTTGAAGAGCTGGGAGGAGTCAGAGGGAGAGCTGAGATTAAATATGACCAAAATATGTGTACATGTATGAAATTGTTAGAGTAAATAAAATATACTTAAATAAGTAAATATTTTACAAAATACTTTTAATTTAATTTCAAGGTACATCTTAATATATGCATAGGTTAATTTCAGGTGTTAATTTTACAAGTATAAAGGACATGGAGCTATACAGATACACACACATACGTGCACGCACACATGTACACATTCTACTGGAGAATAGCTCAGTGACATAGTACTTAGCTAATTGACACAATGTCCTCAGCTACATTTCTAGCACAAAATAAAATAATTGCATACTTATTTTTCCATTCTTCACTATGTATTGAAAAATAAGGGTATCTGCTGCCAAAGCTTGTTCAGAAACATGAAAGGAAACAAAGTTAGGTAGGTTTTGTCACTCACACCAATTCTGGCATGCATGTGTGCTCACGTGCATAAAACCAGACAATTCCCAGCTAGGGAAGAAAAAAAAGGATCTTTTTTTTTTTAAATGGTAATTGATTTGGGATAACAGGATTTCCCACTCAATATAGGCACAGCTCAGCCCAGGAAAGATTTCTTGAACTCCACTATTAAGTGCATTATGTTTCCCAGGTGATTTAATTCAAAGGGCACCCAGTCTATTAATCCACAGATGGGTTATAAAATAAAGTTATATTATAAGCTAAGACATCTCTGGAACTTTTGGAATCTTTCCTTTGCACTGCTTTAAAATAATACCACAGCCTACAGCCTCAAACAAGACGTTTTTGTAATGAAAATATTTTTCTCTTAATCACATCTTAGGTTATTTTTGATACCAATTCACTCAACACAATGATGCACTTATTAATGTGTTGATTTCTTCTGTGAGATATAGGTTCTGTTTCTTTTTGAGGAGTGTTCCAGTACAGCCACTTCCAAGGAAGATCACATCATTGTCTACTCTTTTGCTTTGCAGGTATTGAAATATCAAAACTGAGATACCCTCTAGCACAGAACAAAACAAAATATCAGACTCAGCTTAACCGCGGGCTGTCCTCAGAGGTGGGGCTGCACCATTTGAACCAACAGCAAACTCTGAGAGAAATACAATGCCAAAAATGGCATGGGTAGAAGGGGTAAGAGAGGACTTGATGATGCCACTTTGCCCAGTGCCATACTGGACAGTAAACCAGACTTAGTTGGCATGGCAGACAAGTGTAATACATGGGGCCTTTCCAACCAAAATGCTGTTATCTAAGAACAACCAGTTTCCCACTGAACTTGATCAGAAACAGAATTTGCATATATCTGTGATCCTGGTACTTGAGAAGTAAAGCACAACATCATGGACCAAGTTGGCTATACAGTGAGACCTGAAAGGCAAGCTAGGTGTGTGTGTGTGTGTGTGTGTGTGTGTGTGTGTGTGTGTGTGTGTGTGTGTGTAAGAAAAGAAGGAAAACAAATTCATCTAGGGCTGAGGACGTAGTTGAGTGTCAAAGCATGTGCCTTATATGTGCAAAGTCCTAGTTTCATCCTCAGCACCAAAGAGGTGGACAAAATTTATCCTAAGACTAGTGTTACATAGACTGGAGTAAGACTCAGCCGTTAAGAGCACTGGCTCTCTCACAGAGGACCTAGGTTCAATTCCCAACACCCACATGGCAGCTCACAACCATCTGTAACTCCAGTCCCAAAGAATCTGATAGCCTCTTCTGTCCTCCACATGCTCCTGCACAAACATGGTACATAGATACACACAAAATAAATAACTGTTGCTGAATGTAGCAGAGCACGCCTTTAATACCAGCACTCAGGAAGCTGATCTGGGGACTTACCGAGGGCATGGCTACAGCTCCGGCAGGATTCCGTCAGACTGACAATTATTTGCTGGAGGTCTGCTCTTGGTGGAGTGGGAGAGGGATTGGGGTTCTTCCAGCCATTGCATTTACAAGACTCCTCTGCCTACAAAGGGAATAAAGAGAGAAACAGCTCTGTAATGGGCAGCCATGGACAGTTTCACAAGAGAGCCATGCACACCAGTTATCCGACAGGGACTCACACCTACGATATGTAAATTTCTATAGATGTAAGCAGGAAAAACAAAACCAGGGGAAAGCAAAGGGGGTGCTTTGGGGGAGGGGTTAATTTTTGCTTCTCCTGGTGGTACCTGCAGCTCAGGGGATTATTCAGGGGATGGGTCTGCAGTACTAGCTTCATAAAATAAGCCATATTCTCAGACAGTGATAGGACAAGAAAGAGCTTACAATACTTGGTATGAATCTCAAGTTTCCCTGAAGACTCACACCTCCTTAGCTCTGTAGGAAAGAATGAAGCTGACTTATTTAGAGTCTGTGCCACTTGATCTGGGCTCTGAAACAGAATAAACATGAAGGATTCATCATTTATACTACCAGGCTTGCCATACCGTGTGTGGCTGGGAGCCTTCAACTAGTGTCCTGTTACTTTTGGAAACCCCCGTTCCTTCCCCAAAGTGTTTACTAGTAGTACTGGTTAGTTTCGAGTGTCCACCTGACACAAGCTAGAGTCGTCAAAGAGAAAAGAGCCTCAACTGAGGAAAACAAGATCCAGCTGTAAGGCATTTTCTCAATTAATGATCAATGGGGGAGGGCCCAGCCCATAATGAGTGGTGCCATCCCTGGGCTGCTGGTCCTGGATTCTATAAGAAGGTGGGCTGAGCAAGCCAGGGGCAGCAAGCCGGTAAGCAATACCTGTCCATGGCCTCTCCATCAGCTCCTGCCTCCAGGATCCTAACCTGCTTGAGGTCCCACCCTGACTTCCTTTAGTGATGAACTGCAATGCTGAAATGTAAGCTGAATAAACCCTTCCCTCTTCAACTTGCTTTTCAGTCATGGTGTCTCACCACTGCAAATAGAATCCCTGACTAAGACACTAGTGCCCTGAAAATGTCTACTAGCCAAAGCAGTAGGCTCCAGCTTCAATGAAAGACTACCTCAAAAGATAAGGTAGACAGCTCCAGAGGATTTGACATCCTCATCTGGACTCTGCCAGAACCTGCACTCATGTGAACACACACACACACACACACACACACACACACACACACACACACACACACACACACACACCACATATTTTTTTTAAATAACAATAAGATGGAAAAAGATTGAGGAAAGTCAATCAACCTTGAACCTTGGCCTCCACCCAGCACCCTAGCTGCACTTGTTTGTCTCTGAGGACAGGATACTTGAAGGCCAGAATCCCCTGTTTAGGACTAGTCAAAACTACCGGATCTAATAGCGCAGGTGGGGTAACTACAAGACAGTCTCCAACTCCATTATAACACCATTGAAACTGAAACATTCCCTAGTCCCATGACAATTAACAGTTGCCACAGCAATAACTAGAAAGGCCCACAAACAGAGATTAAAAGAGGCAGTTTTTATTTGTTTGGTTTGGTTTTTTGAGACAAGGTTTCTCTATGTAGCCCTGGCCATCCTGGAACTTGCTCTATTGACCAGGCTGGCCTCAAACTCAAATTCACCTGCTTCTGCCTTCCAGGTGCTGGGATTAAAGGTGTGTGCCACCACCACCTGGCTAGAGGCAGAGTTTAGATCCCCCTAGAAAACCTCTGCACATTCCCAGAAGACTACATGAACATTCCTCCCCTTCATAAGTCCCTTCTCTTACCATGTCTCTACGAGAACAGATAGGGTGACTCTTAAGTTGACCTTACACTTCTGTCCTTGGCTAAGAACAAGCTTCTTGCTTCTGCTCAATTGAGTATCATGGTTGCCACAATTCCAAGAGGGAGGAAAAAGCCAGATTGAGATGAAAGATTACAGTAATTTTGCTATATGACAGGAAACAAAGAGCCTTTTTTGGTGCAGCAAGCCACCAGGAAACACAAAATGAGCAAATTATATTTCAAAGCATCAGTGCTGTGCAGAGAGAAGTAAAAAGACAACTACAGGTGAGCTGGCTGAAAACAGACGAGAAGGAGCATTGTGAGGAGGACTGCAAGGACAAAGGGGGATCCATGGCTGCTAGGTGGGGCTGCAATGCAGCCAGGAAGGCAGAGAAGCAGACATGAGGGAAGGTGGTGAAGGGAAGAACCCTGTGTGGCTGCATGAGCAGCCAAACCCTCTACCTTGACTGCGATCAACCCTCTCTCTCAAACAGGAACTCCAGGGTTTGGAATGGTAGGTGCCCTTCACCCTTCCTGCTTTCTCCTGTGGCCACCCAGTCCATCATCCACACTTTCCCTCCTCTGATGACAGTCGCCGAGGCTTGGAAGGAACCTATGTCTTCTCTGTTACTAATGTCCACGAAGAATCACCTTATTTCCTTTTTCTTTAAATTTCCAGTTCAAAGAGATCATGCCCCCATTAATACAACAGAGAATTAGAGCCGGGTGGTGGTGGCGCATGCCTTTAGTCCCAGCACTCGGGAGGCAGAACCAGGCAGATCTCTGTGAGTTTGAGGCCAGCCTGGGCTACAGAGTGAGTTCCAGGACAGGCACCAAAACTACACAGAGAAACCCTGGCTCGAAAAACAAAAACAAAAATACAACAGAGAATTAAAGCCTTCTTTAATAAAAGCAAGGGGCACCAATGAAAGGTGGCATGCATGAGATATCTTTAAAAAGACAGAGTACTGGAGCTGGATGTGGGAGCACACACCTCTAATCCTTTAATCACCACTCAGGACAGAGAAGTGGGCAGATCTCTGAGTTCATAGCCAGCCTGATCTATAGAATGAGTTCCAGGACATCCATCCAGAGCTACACAGAAAAATCTTTCTTTGAAAACGAAAAAAGAAACATGCAAATAAATAGAGAACACTGAATTCACTTTGAGTTATCACAAAGATGGCAGGTGTTCTGGCCAAAGGCTTTGTTATCAGAAGACCTAAAGTTTACTTTGGTTAGGGTTCAGCTGAGTAGGAACCAGTAGTCTGAACTCCAAGGCATCACACCACTGAAGAGTTTCATTCACCATGGTAACCACACCCATATTTTCTAAAAATTCTTTGCAGTGCAGAGAGTGATAGGATCCTGCCTGTGTTAGGCAGTGCTTTCCCACTGTATAGAGACTCCAGACCCACAACTTTAACTGTCTAAAGCTTAACCCTTTCGCTTCTGAGATGCTAGTGACCATAGCCTACATCTCCTTTGGAAGGCTGCTCCATGAAGGGAGCAGACTGGGGGACACTCTGGATGGACTAGAACAAAACCATAACCAGTATCTGTCATTCTGCTCAAGTTGAAGAACAGGAAGCTACATCTTTGTCAAGCAGCAAACTTAATGATTCAAAGCTGGACATGGTGGCACATAGCTTTCTTTAATCCTAGCACTTAAGAGGCAGAGGTAGGTAGATCTCTGAGTTTGAGGCCAGCCTCATCTACATAGCCAGTTCCAAGGCTACACAGAGACATTGTCTCAAAACACACACAAATAGAATTAGCAAGAACGAACCCTTGTGGCGCAAACATGAGGACCTGAGTTCAAATCCCAGCACCTGTGTAAAAGGCCAGGTGTTGAGGTGGAAAAAAAGGATAGCTAGATCTTTTGAGTCACCAGCAGACTCCGGGTTCAGTGAAAGACTGTCTCAAGAGAATAAAGGCAGAAAGTGATAAAGCCTTCTGGCCTCCTTGTATCACTGTACACATACATACACAGAACACACACACCAAGATTTAGCCAACAACAACAAAGAAGAATTGAAGGACCTTGCTGACTTGGTTACACGTGCCTGAATTACCAGCTTCTCAGGAGGCAGACAGAGCAAGAGGGCTGTAAATTGAAGCTCACCAGAGCTGCACTGTGGATTCGAGGCCAGCATGGATAACTTAGTGAGGCTCCCTGTCAAAACAAAAACATTTTAAAAGGGGAGATGTGGCTAGGTGAGTATATGGGAGACATTGAGTTCAATCCCCAGTACTAGGTGAGGATAGAGAATTCAAGAATACAAAACTTGTCTCCCTGTGGGGTTGCTTATAAAAGCCCACCTGACACATGATAAGCACCCATGTGTATAAAATTAAAAATAATAAATACAAATAAAAAAGTGTAAAAGGCTGGAGAGATAGCTCAGCAGTTAAGAGCACTGGTTTGCTCTTCCAGGGGACTTGGGTTCAATTCCCAGCACCCCCATGGTGGCTTACAATCTTCTGTAACTCCTTTCTCAGGAAATCAGACATTATCTTTTGACTTCAGCAATCGGTATGCAGGCAGGCAAAACACTCATATACATAAAAATAAATAAATTAAAATTAAAAATAAAACCAAAAAAATCTTTTCTTCCTCTTTGAAACTCAAGTGAACAAATAACTACCTTTTAATTTTGGGCAAGACCCTGCAGACTTTCAGGCCAGAGATCATAACTTCATTACTGCAATGGACTTAGGGCAATCAGCCAGGAAAGACAAGCTTACACCCTACCTGCCTCTACATGACATAAAATAATAGCCCTGCTCACCAGGGCTTATAAACCTTGAGTCACAAATCTCAAAGCATGAGGATTTATAATAATCAAGTCTTACATTTCTCCTATTTATCAAAATATTAACCACACTTATTTAAGCCACCGTAATAGAATGCTGACTCTAGTCTACCACACAATGAATTCTGGCACTTAAACATGTCTGGGATTCAGTATATATGGCTTTCCTAGGAAAAATTGGCTAATTTTACTTTCCTATCAAATCTCAGGACTCCAGTGGGTTTTACAAAGTCAGTTTTGGTTTCTTTTGTACTGAATGAGTGGTTTTTTTCTAAATAAATAGAAAACTCCAAAAGTGAAAGAAGACAAGAAGGAGAAGGCATAAAGCAGAACAATGACAGCCCAATGGTTTTGTGGCCCCATGGCACCCCACAGTACAAGGCAAGAAGGGCAAGCCACAGGGACAGCGTGTCTAGGCAAAGTGAAAGCCTTCTGGGGATGTGTCCCTGGGTTCAATCCCTAGAACAAAAAAGAAAAAA